ATATACAACTCATCTAAGAACTGTGTGATTATTTTTAAGTCATTTCGAAAGAGACATATTCATTGAATGAAGTTAGACATGTACAGTATTTGATACCAGCTTAGTGATCTAGAAGTTGAGTATTCACACTCTAGAATGAAGGTCCTAGGTCCGGTTATAACAAGGGTTTATATATATATACTACTTAAGAGTCGTATATTAGGATCCAACAACTGACCAGTGCTTCCTGGATTTCATTGATGGAGTAAATAAAATCAGTTCACGATTTCAGTCATGAAATTTATTTGTTTACTTTAAAATATAATTGGTAGCTGGTTGTCTCTATCCTTTTCTATATATTTAATTAGTGAGTGTTGTATAATAATATTTTACCGGTTATTACATATCAATTATTTCAACTGATTAACCTTTCAAATATAAAGTCAAGTGATTCTATCGTTACAATTATTAGGACGATAAATGTTGTGTAATTCCATTCGTCATTTGGTGAAAATGGATATAAACAATTCATTATTTGTTATTATGAAAAGTTTATACTTGTTACCTCCCTTATTCAATTAGGTACATTTTAAAAGATAGGGTGTGTTTTCTATTTGTTTTCATGATCTTTTCGTTCATATTATTACTCTATTTATATTGATAATTCCATGGTAATGTGATAACTTTTTTAGTTGCGTATTCAATGTCTTGATGACATGTTTGCATGACAACATACTATTATATATATATATATATTGACTACAAATAATTGATTCTTCTATTTATAAGGATGATGGCATTACTTTTTATTTCACCTTCAGTCATCTTATAATTTCTTGTGCCAAAACACCTATATGTTGAAGAATTTTGGAGAATTTCTCTTGGCCAAACTATGTTGTACACCACAATAGATCAATTAAGTTATCGGTTTAACAATGTGATACAAAATGTTTAATCTTAAAATTTTTCTTCAAAATCTATACCCTAAATCTGTTTTATCTTACAAAAACTGAGACCATTTCTAATTTTAAATCATAATTAGGTTATAGAAACTATCCTACAATCGACTTAGTATTGTTTGTTTGAATCTTCCCATCGATTTGTTAGGACTGCAACTGGTCAGTCTCTAATTGGCATATGTGCATACTGTGCGTATTGCCTCGATATACCTTAATTCACAAGCATGGTTAGCAGAGATGGATAGATAGTGGCTAGCAGTGGAATCCAGGACGCGCGTTTCGTCCTATTTGGGACTCGTCAGCTGGATGTACCTGCAATGATGTACCTACAAGGATGTACCTACAAGGATGTACCTACAATCGATTTCGTGTATGGTTAATTTTGGTTAAGCCTTTTTATTAAATTACTTAATAGACATCGTCATTTGGATAATAAAAATTTGTATATTCTTTGTACTGTTATTACTACTAGAGCACATGACACTCTAATCAAAATGTTAATCACTTAAGTACCATTCGATGACTTATACACCTCCGCATATATGTATTCACGCAAATCCTATTATTAACCTTTGTTTTGTTTTGCTGTGCCCTTATTCAATTTGACTATAATTACTTGCTCACTCACTCCACTGCTTATTGCTAGTTGATATTAGCTCATGTGCTTGTAACCTTCTGGCCTGAGTTATTTATCAATGAAATGTAGTTGCCGCTTCTCTTCGCTTTCTGATTTTATGAACCGTTAAGATTGGTACTATAACGGTTATCAAGGTGAACGATTTGAGAAGCATGGCACTACAAGGTATAGATTTCTCTATTTGCTACAGTTCAAATTTTAACCTACTTTAATACGATGAATTTTCTCCAACTTTTATATATTTCATTCATATTACATGACCTATATGTTTAATGTTATGTTACTGACAACCAAATTTTAATCTGTTTATCTCAATGATGAGAAATTTACTGTAATCCATAGAATCTTTCACATATTCATTTACTTTTCGAAACAGAGTTTGTCACGTTATTATTGATTTAGTAAACATAGAAAATGTTGTTCAGCGTATAATTTAATAAATATATATCTATGACTGTATAATCTTTCCAATCAATTCTCTGTAAATGGATCTATTTTTGTTGAAATATAATTAAATGGTTAGTGTTAAATTCGTTGATGTTTAGGACTACAATTGATCAATCCCTTAATGGCATATGTACACTCTGTAAAGATTCCCTCGAGCACAGACTTCGTCGTGATAACAATATGATAATTAAAACTATTCAAATTAATATAATAACTGGGAATTCCTGAAATAGTGTAATTTATAATAAGATTCAAACAAACAATACAAAAGTGAATTGAAACTTCAACCCATTGCATAAGCAAGTGGCTATTAGGACTCAGTAACTAAGTGGATATTGTGGTGTCGTTTGAAGTGGACGGTAGTGAGTTTGAGTTGCGGAGTGAATATCAACTCAGGTACATCCAGGTGAGATGTCCCAAATAGGACGAAACGCGCCAAATGGATTCCATTGCTAACTACCATTCATATTTGCTTTTAATGTTTAGTGTTATTAAAGAAATTGTCAACAAAATGAATTTATGCACAGAAAAATGTCAAGTTGTTCCTTTTACCGCTGATAGAGGAGCATAGGTATAGCATAAAAGAAAATAGTTAGAAGTTTCCTAGTATTGTTTCATTTTACTGCATGATTCTTATTTATACTCCGTCCTAAGATCTTATTCAACAAGAATCAATTTGAAAAATAGGGACTTGAATAGTCAAGCAAAAACTTTTACTAATCAATAAAAGTGGCAACCAATGTGTAAAAAACACTAATTTCATGTCGATAAACAGAAGATAGATAATTCTACCGTTTTAGTCAAGATCTATGATGGAGGATTAATCATAATAGTTACATGACAACTGTAGACACTAATAATGTCTATTAATTTACAAAAAGTGATTTATATTGTTGGACTATTTAGTTTGTACAGATATTCATTCTGTTCTATGATCCGAAAACATCTCAGCAAATATTAATAAACAAGGAGTGATGAACAACTTATTCGTTTTAATTTTTTACAACTCAGAAATTCATACTCACGAATCAATAGGCAATTGAATTTACAAATTTCAGGTTAAGGAATTTACATTCCCAGTTATCCTTGACTTTTTTAATAAATCTCCACATGATTTTCAGTCCACATTGATAAATTAAGTTAATGTTTACAAAGCATGTGAACAATAATTATGTATTTATTAATAAGTGGATCAAACAGCTCCACTGAACCCGCCCAAAATCGAAGAAGCACCCACGGACATCCCAATCGATGTTGGCCCACCAACAATTGAAGAGATCAACATGGTCATTAGACAAATCAAGAGCGGCAAAGCAGCGGGACCAGACAACATCCCGGCAGAGGCACTGAAAGCAGATGTAACAGCAACTGCAGAGATACTCCACATTCTCTTCAGTAAGATTTGGGATAAAGAACAAGTACCAAAGACTGGAAAGGAGGACTTCTGATCAAGATACCAAAGAAAGGCGATCTCAGCAAGTGCGACAAATAAAGGGGCATCACTCTCCTCTCAATACCAGGAAAAGTCTTCAACAGGGTATTGTTAGACAGAATGAGGGACTCCGTAGGCGCCCAACGTCTAGACCAACAGGCTGCATTCCATAAGGATCGATCGTGTTCAGACCAAATCTCAACTTCACGCATCATTGTAGAACAATCAATCGAATGGAATTCATCACTCTACATCAACTTCATTGACTACGAGAAAGCATTTGATAGAGTAGACAGGACAACACTATATGGGCTTCATCGACACTACGACGTACCTGAGAAGATAATCAATATCATACGGAATTCCTATGGTGGATTAAACTGTCAAGTCGTTCATGGAGGACAGAGCATTGACTCGTTTGAGATAAAGACCGGTATCAGGCAAGATTGCTTACTCTCACCCTTTCTCCTGGTGATCGACTGGTTCATGAAGGCGTCAACATCTGGAGGTGTGGAAGCACGGGATACAATGGACAGCTAGGATGCAGCTGGACGGCTTGAACTTCTTGGATGGTCTGACTTTTGTACCACACACAACAACAACAAATGCCGAAGAAGACGACCAGTGTAGCAGTAGCCTCAGCAGCAGTAGGTCTCAATATAAACAAAGGGAAAAGCAAGGTTCTCCGATACAACACAGTATGCAAAAATCGAATCACACTTGATGGGGAATTTTTGGAGGGTGTAAAAAGCTTTACATATTTGCGAAGCATCATTGATGAACATGGTGGATCTGATGCAGATGTGAAGACTCGGATGGAGAAAGTAAGAGCAGCATATTTACAACTGAAGAACATCTGGAATTCAAAACAATTGTCAATCAACAACTGCATCACAAGAAAAGCTCTCATATGGAATCCCGAAGGCCAAATGAAAAGTGGAAGATCAAAGAACACATTACGCCGAAAAATGGAGACAGACATGAGAAGAATAAATAACAATTGGATAGAACTAGAAAGGAAGGCGGAGGACAGAGTGGGTTGGAGAATGCTGGTCGGCGGCCTTTGATCCATTGGGAGTAACAGACGTAAGTAAGTTAGTAAATATCTACTAATAAGGAAGCATAGAGGTAAATTTTCAAGATTTATCCATTCATGATATAACCAGTCATTTTGTTTAACTTCGTAAACTACAGCAACTCACTATGAATTCCTTAAACCAACTTTTAATCTAATCACCAGTAAGCATACAATCATTATTCACACAGCTTATTTGTGAAGACAATTATCCTCAAAGACTATTGGATAAGATTACAATTTCCTAACTTTTTGTGCATCATTTCTATAATATCATTCTACTGAAATAATATTAAATAGCATAAATAGTATAAATTAGTATTAAAATCACTTTTTAAACAAATATATAAGAACCATTTTGATTGGTTAATTTTAATTTAGAACCTAAAATCAACAGAAGCTTTCTGATTGGCTAATATATATATATATATATATATAAATTGAGTTTTATTCATGAAGAGTAATTCGCTAGTAGATTCTTATTGGCTAAGGATTTGCACCGAACATTCCTTCTTTGAAGTCATAAGAAAAATTAATCAAATACCTATTTAGGATTGTTATAGGATAACAGTAGTATATTGAAATTACTTTTCAATGTTGTTAATTTCACAATCTATTCCATTGTTATCATTGACTTATAAACTGTCTTGATTGGTTTAATATACTTCGTATATACTTATAAATCTATTATAACAATATAAATTAAAACTTGTTGTCATTCAATTGAAATGGATTCATTATATACTAATGAGATAGGATTTATTAAACTTAATAAAACATGTATATTATGGATTGTATTATTAATTTTTAATAAATTTACTCATTTATCATATATTGGATGTAATGCATTTCAAAGTCATTTAATTTATTGGGATCCAGATAATATTATGTAAGTGTATCCTATGAATTAATGTACAATGTTGATTATAATATTCAATTGTATTAAGAATACAAGCATTTAAAATATAAGAGGTATAAACAGTGTTAAATAGTGGTTGTACAATTTTATGGATTGATTGAAGTTAAACATTAACACAGTTGGATAATGGCTCAGTGGTCTAGAGTTGTTATAAGCGTTTACGCACGAGACCGAAGATCCTGAGTTGGAATCCTGCGTTCACACTGTCGAGGAGACTCATACTAGGACGAAACGTCCGTTCAGGGCTTCCAAATTTTCAATGGTGGTCTAGCATTCATTGATTAATAATCTTAATCATAAAAGTGTTAAATGGAATAAATTCTTTTTATTTCATGTGAATTTACGAAATGTAGTTCCGTAAGAAAAATTTGAATAAAGTAGCTCATTTTTAGCTAATGTATTTAGTAATAAATACCCTCCATAATTATACAACTATTGTTTATTTAGAAACAGAAAAAACTAGAGAAAAAGCTGTTTGTGACATGGCTAATCATAGTGGACATAAGTGTTGTCGAAATTATAAAATCAATGTCAATTGTTCAAATGATTATAGTCGAGTTATAATGATAATGACTGTAATAATGCTAATGAATAGTGACTGTTCAACGAAGTATGAAAATACAAAGAAGTTATGATGACTTAGATGAATAAGCAATGGTATTATATACATATAAACTTAAGTAAACAACGAACATATTATTATAATAATATAGCAGAAAGGATAGGGTATGAGTAAGGAATATGTACTGACAAAAAGTAAGGTAAAGTAAGGTAAGATAACCACAACTAGAGGCATGTTTACCACATACATTTTCTGAACGCATAAGTTCGATTTGGAAACACAAACTATCGCTAAGATTGGCTAACGTAATAGTCTGTTATTTTACTGTTCGGTGATCATATGAAATTCTGTTATCTTGTTCAAAATTTATACCAGTGTATGTAGTATCTCTTTCTTTTGTAATGATAAGTTTGGAATGACTAGCTGCTAAACTCATTAACTCATGTTCAAATATTCTTTTAGATGAAACCTTTTCCGTACCTTCAACTCCTATGCTACTAAAAAGACAAGTGTATAGAAATTACTGAAATTAAACAAAAGATAACTCTTAACTGAATCACAAATTTAGAGTGAGTTTTTTATTTTGAATGGATTAACTACAGAAAACTTTATTGCGATGTAGGTGTATAATCGAGCGATTTTGATTCATCTTCAATGTTGAATAACTTTTATTCCTTCTAAAGACTATCGAGCGACAATAAATGTTGGAATTGTTATTTATCAAGACTATTTTTGTGTGGAAATATGTACTGTCTGGAGATTTTCTGTAGCAAAGGTTTCGTCGAAATACTTTTCATCCTCTTCTGAAGAATTTGAGTTTCTGATGAACATTAATATTACTCTTATCAATGACTGATTAAAAGTTATTTAATCAAAGTTCAAAGTAGAGTTTATGGAGAATATAGATCACACAAAAGGTGAAAAATTATCCATTCAGATTAGGTTGACTAACTTGTCTGCTCATGTACAAAAGTTATGAGCTCAAATCTTAACTGATTTCAAAAATTCCCTAGAATTATAATGATGCGAATTTAGCTGCCGAAGACAAATAAATGATTCTTTTTTGGTTAGACTTATTCTTATCTAATAAATTTACATCAGTCTGTCCAATTATCACCCAATTACTTAAAAATCAATTTGTTTTTAAAACTTAACTGAGCAGAATTAATCTTATTTTGTAGTAAATGTCACTGAGTTTACTACTTGTTCATTACTTACTTACTTACGCTTGTTACCACTCATAGAGCAACATATGCTACCCATCAGCATTCTCCAGCCAACTCTGGACAATCCTTTCCAGTAGTTTTTAGTTCTTATTCATCCTTTTGATGTCTGCTTCCAATTCTCGATGCAATGTGTTCTTTAGCCTTCCGCTTTTCCGCCTGTAATTCTTCTAGGGGCGAGACTATAATTTATGGACGAGCCAATCAGAAGCGTTTGAGGGATTTCAAGGTCACAGTGCCTATTTCAGTACCTGATGCTCATGTACGGTCGGTTCACAGAGAATTTTCGAGAAGACTTGACAGTTAAGCGGCTACAACAAATGAAACTACTAAGAAGTTCCTGTATTTGTAATTACGAGTATTAAATGACTTGTGGACCTTGTGCAGACTACCGTGATGTTGTCCTTCGATTTAATATATGTTGAGGGAAGACGTCTGCTAGAATAAGAACCCTTATCGCTCGATCCAGATTGAGACTAAGACATGTTTTAATGATTGCCGCCAACTATATAATGAAAGCACCAGCAACATTGGCTGCAATAATCGCAGATGTTACTGAAGCTTCGGCTGTTCAGTGGTATGAGTATTGTAGGGACATATCCATAATAAAAATGGTAAACTTACACAACTGGAGCACACAAACAAAAATGAAGCTATGTGGTCGAGACTGAGAGGGTTTTTATGACCTTATCATGGCTCCAGAGACCAACTATTATGGAGCCATATGGATGAGTTCCTCTACTTTATGCATTACGATTTCGGAGCCTTTGAACCTTTTTCTAACCTTGACAAGATTTTGGACCATATAAAAGAAGTGTATCCACTTTAATTATTTGGTTTTGTATAATATATTTTTACTCTATACTGGCTGTTTACTGATTGGCTTATATTTCTCAAGGTCACTTAAGATCCGTTCAAAAGTTGTCCATAAATTGTAGTCTCGCCCCTTCTAGGGTTACTGCTGATCCCAAGCCTACAACAAAGGAGGAGAGTTAGGCACGGTGTCAGCAATTCTATCCCATAGGAAAGAATCTTGCTAAAAGAACACTAACCAGAATAAATAAAATTACTTGTTCATAATTACTGTAAATCCTTTGATAATATAATTTATTGGTATAATTATGAATTTATCATCTTTTCTATGATACAATTTCTTGTCACTTTACATTCAACTAAGATAAACAGATAGGCTTTTCAATATCACATGTTAACTAGTCTAAATGATTTCTCCCATAGTTTATACTTTTGATATTTATTTGATTGTATTATAAAAACAACAAATTTACATTTCAACTGTTAGGGAAGTAAAAAAAAAACAAATTATCGAATAGTTACATAAGTGATTGATCAAGGACACTTTTTGATACTGTAATTCAGTTAGTATCCAGGTCTAAAATTAAGTGTTTCTCTATTGAATATACGTTACTTCGGACTTTGTTTTTGTTTTTTAAATTATAAATATGTGAATGTTCTTTTAGACTGAAGGTAACAAAATATAGGTCATCGAATAAAATGAGCTAAACAGTTATTACAGTTCAACTAATTATTGTTTGTTTGAATCTTCCCATTGATGTTTAGTACTGCAATACACACAGTATGCACATATGTCAATTAAAGACTGACCAGTTGCAGTCCTAAACACCAATGAGAAGATTCAAACAAGCAATACTTAGTTGAATTTAAACTTCACCCCATTGCACAAGCAAGTTGCTATCAGGACTCAGTAGCTGAGTGGATAACACGATGGCGTTTGAAGCGAAAGACATTGGGTTTAAGTCCCAGAGTGAACATCAACTCTGAGATGCAAGTACATCCAGGTGACGAGAACCAAATAGGACTTCCTGAATCCCACTGCTAGCCACTACTCATTTTTGCTTACAAATTATTACAGTGTATAATATAATCTATTCTAATATCACTATTGATAAGATTTAAATTATCCTATCATTGATGCCCATGATGGAATTTTATCAGTCTTTGTTGTTATATTTGCATTTCACGTGTATCGCCTCAAAATAAAAATTTTGCTGTACATCTTATAGAATAGTTGGATAGTGACTAACAGTAATTGTTCATTAGTTTGATGTCTCTATATCTCAATGTTTATGTTGACACAACGACTCGGCCTCACTATCGCGTCCAATTATCCATGTGAACAATAACACTAGGATGAAAGTACATTCAACTGAAAAATCCCTAATGAAGTGGAACATGTATCCTGGATTTCATTACTAGTCACATTCCATCCATTCTACATTGCTATTGATTGAGGAACTGATATTATGGTTAATGTAAACAATCAGTTAATCATATAAATTCAACTTAATATTGTTTGTTTGAATCTTCCCAGCGTCCTGGATTCCACTGCTAGCCACTATCCATCTCTGCTAATCAGTTAATCAGTTTAAATACAAAATTTTCTTTAAAACACATTTCATTTCCCTTGGTAATTTTCTTTTAGGAGTAAAAAACTTATCCCTTTAATGTTTAATAAAAAGCGTGTTTCTGAAACAATAAAGAAACTACTTTTAAATTCCATATGAAATATGATAAAATACTGGATTCGCAAATTCAATCATTTGATTAGGTGGATATGTTTTATATGTAGAGTCAGTTTTTATAGATAAAGATTTCAGTTTTATCCAAAAATCAAAATGCATGTGTTTATAAGCATTTCCTTTCAGTTACACGTTAAATACTCTCCATAGGTAGTTCAGTACGTTCCATATGTTTATTGATCAGTAACACTACAAATAAGTATAAACAGATCACACAAAAACTAATGGAAATGCTAAAGAAACATTGAAAGAAAAGGAAGCTTTATAATTTGTTTCATTGTAGTTTCCCCAGAGATCATCCCATCAAGGGCTAAACACAGGAGTTTCATGTCTTTGGGAAAGCACAGTACTTTCATACCACTGAAAATTAGTATCCCGGCCAAAATTCTCTCAAATCACTGTATAAATCAACGAATGAAAAGTTTCTTTGATGTTACTTACATCATTTCCTTCACAGTTAAACTACGCAAACTACTGATTCGCAGCAGAAATTTAGGAATTATTTTCTAACCTAGTTGTCACTAGTACACACATGACTACTTTTTAGGACATGGATCATTTTCATATTTTTCTTTATCACGTTAAAAATAAGACACTGAAGTTTTAACTCCTGAATTCTAATTTAAA